AATCTGGAGAAAAATTTACCTCCTTTTTATGCATCAATTTTACTTACCTGCAAACATATTAGGCAAATATAAGGCAGTCATCTAAAACATGAGATGCTGTAAATGATAGCAAAATAAGATATAAGAAGTTAGATGATGCCCAAAATGTCGGTCGGCCAGATGAAACCTCAACCATGATTTAGTCATAACCTCGAATCAAATCTCCTTCTATTCCTAATGGGGTCAATTTACCAAGTCGTGCCACTCACATTGTCTGGGAGTGCCATTTATGTGTCTCTTCGAGTCTAGAAATAGGTTGCAGACTGGGAATCCGTCTTAGATCATAACGTTCTAAAGTAGAGAGTTTCTAAAAACCTGTTGAGCTTAATAAGTAGCATAACCGTAATACGTTCTCTAAGTTATATCAATATAAGGAAACTTCTGGATGCAAGAGTATAATAGAATATAAAAGTTGTTTGACCCACTTTTCGTAACTTAGTCATATTGGTAGGAAGACTTAGAGGAGCACACCTAGTCCGGAGAAAATTGTATGTATGATAGTTTCCAAAGTCGGACCGTGGACGTTGTACATTCCCATTCGTCAGTGAGTATGGCCATTCATAGCACCACACAGCGACTCCTCAAAGAGACAAGCGAAGCCGATCCTTTCACCAAATGTGTGTCAAACAGTTGTGGTATCTTTCCTTCTGTCCTGGGTTATTCACCTTTCCTATATCCTCGTATCATGCCTTCACTATGGCAATTATTTTCCATGCTTATTTAAATGTAACATGGTGTCCGCTTTTGAGCGGCTTTCACGAGAACCCTACACACTCCACACTGTCGTTTTCATCCCAATTCAACCTTGTGACGGGAATGTTGATCAGAGTCTACCCTATTGTTACGCAGTCCTACTTCCCTAGGTCCTATCAGAGTCTCCCTCTTGCCTAGTAGGATCCGTCTGCTATCTCCTTGATTCAAGTATTGCTCTCGACCCCTGCCACCCCAGTTGTGCTACTCGAGGCACTATTTCCCGCACTCTGCGTCTGGGAGACTAACTTGAGGTAAAGCCCCTGAGTAATTCTCATGGTCAAGCCTTTGTTTCATGGACTACGTGTACGGTGAAACAGGCCTACTAGCTCTAGTCTCCGCCGTGTTTATACTGTTTCTATCCGTAATACCAAGTTTATCACTTGCTATGCCATAGTCTCTTGTGTGCCAACTCACAAATGTTATGGTACAGCTTGTTATGATTGGGTTCAACGTTGAACCACAACATTGGTGTGTTGACTCAACGAAAGGAGACTGCGACCATACAAAAGGCCGCACTATCTTGGTATTCATATCTTTGATAAAAGAATATATTTTAAGGGCGGAATTAAAACTTATTAAAATATAGTACTCAAATTTAAATTTAAGTAGTGTATGTCATAAACTAAAGTACGTTTGTAGTTGTTTGTCTTTATTTTCGCAACTTGGACATATTGGCAGAACGACTGCCTTAGCACCACACTACAACTCGTCAAAGGGACAAGTGAAGTCGATCCTTTAACCAATTGTGTGCTAAACAGATGTGGTATCTCTCCTTCTGTCCTGGGCTATTCATCTATCCTATATCCCTCTTGATTCCGAAACGGTGGATCTCCTGAAGGGGGGTTAAATTATTACCTTGGTAACGAAGGGAGAATTTTAGCAAATATCCTTGTAGAAGTTATCAGCATTTCATAGAAATACCCAGAAGCGACGAAACGGTAGATGGAAATGGAATTAATCTCGATAATCTTGGCCCGTAAATAGCCAATACAGATGAGTGGATTGATGAAGATACGTAGAAACTCGAAAATGAATGACCAAATACTTCTTCAGGCGGATAAGGGAGATGCGATGATGGTAATGGACAGGCAATAGTAGACAAATGAAATGGAAAGTTTCTTAGGCTACCGAAGCCTTTATCAAATACTACGAAATGATCGAATAATGAAGATTAACAGAGTACTGAAGGAAATGTTACAATAAGTGTATAACAATGGATAAATCGATAGATCGATGATGAATTCATTAATCAAAATATGACGCAAGACCACCGAGAGCCTAAGTATTACCGAAGATACGCACGAAAGAAAAACACTTAGGTAAATATATTCAACAACAGGCATGCAGCAACACACAACTTAGCGAAGCTTCAAGTTTAAGAAAGTAAACGACATGCATTTTTTCAAATGATCCAAGACATTGAAGTGACAGAGACGGAAATTTTGGTAAGTTCTGAAGTTCAATCCATGTACACAAACATTACAGTCGAGAATGCAGTCACCGCCCTGCTGGAGGTCTTGGAACGAGAGGAGGATCCCCCGGAAGCAGAGCGAATAAAAAAGCAGTTGCTAACACAACTACTCTACATTTTTAGGCAAATCTATGGGCAAATATTTGAACTAACTATGAGATCTTCACTCACAAATCTTTTGGCCAATGGATTAATGGACAACTTGGAAAGAAACTCCGAGAAGCTACCGCCGCAGCAAAGAGTATTAATTCAATAACTCGATGACTACTTTGCGCATTGGTCGCAGGTTAAGAAAAAATTGGATGAATGCTTAAACTTTATAAACCAATTGAAGATATGAAGACCAAGATGTTGTGGCTTCTGGTATAGTGCAGTCTCCTTTTGATTTATAGAAGTGGGTTGACCTCGTTGTCGCCACTTGGTCTTGTTGCCAGGGCGACTTAGTAGAACGCACCTAGTCCGAAGTCGTCTGTCATAGTAGTTGTCATGATTCCCAGCATCAGACAGTATACTTGGTACCTTCTCAAAAGTTTTGCCGGCATCATCAGTGAGTTTTTCCAGTCTCCACACCAAGCTAAGAACGCGTAAAAAGAGACAAGTGAAGTCAATCCCTTAACAAAATATTCTGCTGAAAACGGTTACTTTATCACTCTTCTTTCTATCGTGGCCTATCTATCTACTTTTTACCCTTTTATCCCACTCCTGACTTTTTGACATTCAACTAATCAGAATTTGAGACCTTTTGTGGCAAATCTAGTGTGGCCTCATCCCACTTGCTATTCACACCGACCCACTTTAAATCGGCAGATCCGACTCGGGCCTCCAATCCGGATCCCCTCATTGTCTCGTAGATCCGTTCCTTGTCTTTCTGGCTGACCGATTTCACTCGGTTCCAGTCCCAGAGTGCATTTCACTCCAAACGTTATTTCTCAAGGCCCAAGAAGCACGTACACTACAGCTTCACTGAGCAGAGCGCCTAAGCTCTGATTGCTATGCTTGAAGATATCAGGCCCTCCCTTCACTGATCCTCTCGTTGATTAAACCCATGTTATCTGAGCAAACTGTGGACGCCTATCTCTGGTCGTATGTGGCATCTCAAATGGATTTCTAGTGCATTTTGAGCGTAACGCCGAATTTCTGTGACGGATTGCTTATCCGTCTGCCCAGCTCCCTGACTGCCAGGCCCCCGAAGTTGTATTGGTTTATTCGAAACTGACATCACTCGCTGATAACGACTTCGCTGGATTGCCGAAAACCCCTGCCCCCACATTCTTCATTGCTATCCCTTTTCCTCCGGTTAGTGGTAGATCCCTGATCCAGGCGTCTCCTTTTCGCTGGTCTTGCTCTATTCTTGTTTCTCCCGAGTTTGCTTATGCAGTAAGCAAAGATATCGCTAGCTCTACCTCCATCGTGAATTGAATTTGTTTTTCAATCTGGTATACAAACTTTAGAAACTCTTCATGTTTTTCTCTTCCATTTGACCAAAGTGCGAAATTATCATCCAGGTAGACTTGTGAAATGCGTTGGTTTCTCTTTTATGGTCACCTGAATATTCCATTTCCTCAATATTAGCCGTCTTTTTTGAGTTAGTTCGCAGGAAAATAGGCATATCCACTTTTGTTAATCTTTCATCGTCCTTACTGTTGTTTCATAGTCACTGTTCTGCCGTCGGCTTTTCACGGGCCGTAGATTCATGTGTTTTACTTCGCTTTGGTAGCCATTGCCGAAAAATATCCAAGTCAATTTGTCCAGTTTCTCGTCCCAGAATTCTACATCTGTAAGGCGCAGGCTTCGGATGATCATGCTCCTCATTATTCCAATCTTCAGCTTGTAATTGTGATGGGACCGGAAATTGAGTAGTATCCCAGCATAAGACTTCTTTCCGAACAATTTCTTTTTGAGCGTTCCATTAGAGCGAAACAATTCAACTTCCATGAACGGTAACCGCTCACCTTCCTCTACTTCCATCGTGAATCGAATTTTTTCATCAATCTGGTTTACAAACCTTAGAATTTAATTCACGATGCAAGTAGAGGAAGATGAGCGGTTACAGTTTATGGAAGTTGAATTGTTTCGATCTAATGGGACGCTCAAAAATAAATTGTTCAGAAGGAAGTCCTATGCTTGGATAATACTTCCGGTCCAATCACAATTACAGGCTAAAGATAGGAATAATAAGAAGCATGATCATCCAAACCTACGCCTAAAGGATGTAGAATTCTGGGACGAGGAGCCGGACAAATTGATTTGGATATTCCTCGGCAACAGCTACCCAAATGAAGTAAATCACAGGAACATATGGGCCGTGAAAAGCCGATGGCAGAACAGTGACTATGAAAGAACAGTAAAGACGATGAAAGATTCACAAAAGTGGATATTCCTACCTTCCTGCGAACTAACTCACAAACTATGGCTAATATTGAGTAAATGGAATATTCAGGTGGCCATGAAAGAGAAATCAACACTTTTCACGAGTCTACCGACGTAACATGAAAGAGTAGATAAACTTGATTGTTCAGGAGTTTACTGTATATCATGCGGCACCTGCAAACAGAAATATAATGGCAAAACAGGGAGAAAAATTAACACACGAATCAAGGAACATTGGAGGCTCTGCAGGAAAATGGATACTAAAAGATCTTAACTAGCGGAACACATCGCCTAGACTGGACACGAGATCAATTGGAAAGCAAGAAAAAGAAAAGTCCCATACGGGGACAAGATGAGGAAGCGGAAGATTAGGGAGGCCATTAACATCCTTGGGGATAAAAATATAATGAACAAGAGAGTGGAGGAAGGTAGAGTTAGCGATAACTGTGCCTACTGCCTAAGCGAACTCGGAGACAACAAGAATGGAGCAGTACCACCAAAAAGGAGACGCATGGATCAAGGATCTACCGCTAACAGGAGGAAAAGGGATCGCGATGAGGAAGGACTGGGGCGAGGAGCTTCGGCAATCAAGCGAAGACCTTGCCAGAGAGTGATGTCAATTTCGAATAAGCCAGTATAGCTTTGGAGACCTGGCAGTCAGGGAGCTGGGTATTCGGATAAGCAAACCGTCACGGAAATTCGGCGTTATGGCCAAAATGTATTAGAAATCCACTTGAGAATTAGCATTCAACGAGAGATAGGCGTCCACAGTTTGCTCAGATAACATGTTTAATTAAGGAGACGACCCGTGAAGGGAAGTCCTGATATCTGCAAGCATGGCAATCAAAGCTTAGGCGCTCTGCTCAGTAAGGCGGCTTCTTGGGCCTTAAGAAATACCGCTTGGAGTGAAATGCACTCTGGGACTGGAACCGAGTGGAATCGGTCAACCAGAAAGATAAGGAACGGATCTACGAGACAATGAGGGGATCCGGATTGGAGGCCCGATTCGGATTAGCCGATCAAAGGTGACGAGGTCAAGGTGAATATCAGGTGTGATGAGGCCAAACTAGATTTGCCACAATAGGGCAAGTGGACGAGTGGAATGTAAACAAATGAGAAATTGTGATAGGTCAGGAGTTTGGTAAGAGGGCAAAGAGTAGATAGATAGGCCAGGAGAGAAAGAGGAGTGATTGTGTAACCGTTTTCGGCAGAATGTTGGTTGAGGTATTGACTTCACTTGTCTCTTTGACGAGTTCGTAGCTTGGTGCAGCGAATAACAAACTCACTGATGATGCCGACTAAGATGCCGGCGAAACGTTTAAGAATGTACCAAGTCCACTGTCTGATGCTGGAAATCACGATAACTACTATGGCAGACGACTTTGTACTAGGTGCGTTCTGCTAAGTCGCCCTGGCAATAAGACCAAGTTGCGACAACGAGGTCAACTTGATGAAAAAACCCAATTCACAATGGAGTTTAACGATAATAAATGACTATAATTCTTGGCTGTTAAAATCATTTGCTCTATGATGACATTTGGGACGAGACCTTTCAGAAACAAATCAATTTTTGATCCCACCATTACTTCAGACTGAAGATCTTAATACTGACGAGTATGCTCATCAGAAGCTAAAGACTAACCGATAATAAGTTCTAGGACGAAAAGTTGAAGAATACGATTAGGTTTGCCTTAGTAATAGGTACCCCAGAGAATTTATAGAAAGGAATATAGAGGTCATAAAGAGCAGCTTTTAACTAGGATCATATGAAAATAAGATCATGAATTGGGAGTATGACTAAAAGTGGATGTGCCTGCCCTTCTGTGAACCGAGTCAAACTCTACTTACATACGAAATATAGGACTCTTATAGCTCCCGAAGGAAGAGGATTGCTGATTAAATCACAGCTTGGACAAACACTCCTGTCACAGTGGGGGGATGTGGGAACCAGCGGGTAGTGTGAATAGGTTTTGAATATGTTTAGATAAACAAGTAAGAAATTGTGATATTGAAGGGGTAATACAAGGATATAATATAGGTGAATAGTTTAGGGCAGAAGGAGAGATACTACAACTTTTTAGCAGACAAATGGTCAAGGGATCAACCTCACTTGTCCCTTCGACAAGTTGTGGCGTGGTGCTAAGAATGGCAAGGCTCACTGACGATGCCGGCGAAACTTCTTGGAATGTACCAAGTCCATGGTTCGACTCTGGAAATTACCCTGCACACTATGGACTCCGGACAAGGTCCGTTCTTCTAGGTCTTCTTGCCAATATGACCAAGTTGCGAAAACTTGTCCAAACAACTACTATTCAATGAAAGGAGATCGCATCTATACAAAGGGCTGCACCATTTTGGTCTTCATGCCTTCGATTAAACTGTGTTAGCTTTAGAGCATATCAGAACAAATATGAATGAAAGCTGTGTCTCTAGACACTCCCTAGTGAGTTATTGTGATTCGACTTTCCATTTCCAAGCAAAGTTTGGTTGAAATGAAATCGTGAATTGGTTTCACCAGAAATCTAAGGAGAGTGACCATCCTGAGTAACGACTTTTGGTTTCTGGGAAAAAGTACTCGGCTCACCGTCTTGCAACCCTGATGAAGCTGTGCCAAGCTTTCATCTGTACCACCGTGACATACATCATCAGAGCCATAATCCAGACTTTACGGAAGAGCATGAAATATTATACTTAACTAAGAGAAATGGTGGCCGACTGTAACCATAATCACTTTTTATACACTTGCCATTGTAATCGTAGTGAGGCTTTTCATTGTTTGATTAGATGCCTCAAACTTAATCTACATGCTTGCAGAAGTGTTAAGTTAATTAATGAACAAGAAGTGGATGTGGCATACACTGTTTCCTTACTTAAATACAATAGCGTAGGATCTTTTTATGTTGAATTATGTTTAGGCATGCGGTATTGTCTTTAGTGAGTATGTAATATTTATGTTATGAATGGTTATTTCAGTCTCCTTTTGTTCAGTCGTTCTTCTCGCTTATTCCCTCCTTCCCTTTCTCTAGTCCTATCTAATACCCTTATATAGCTTGTACTCTATTTTCTACAGCTATTCCTATTCAGGGTTTTGGCTGATTTGTTAATTCCTATAGACTTCATAGTCTTACGCTTTGGTGTGAATTCCTCGTATCCTGTAAAACTTAATTTCGTAGACCAGTTTAACGAGTGTTCTGTACTAGCCATTAACTTGGCGAATTCTGATTTTTGCACTCATAAACCCTTACAAATGGTTTTGTGTTAGGATAATCTCTTCTGGATGGGTTGGCAAGTCTTCCCTACATATAAATTACGACGTGACCACAGGCAGCAGCGTAATCATCCATATATTTAATTACAAACTTTTAAATTAGAATGCCTTTTAAGGCAAACGAACCTCTAATTGAGGCTTGTCGTGATTAGCTAAATTGGGGCCAAATAAGATCCCATAGCCAAGCCCTGTTTCTGCTTACTTAACTTGCCATTTAAGGTCAAATATGTACTATTTATGATTAGGTTGATTAATCTAATGATTGAATATCTGCATAACTTTGTGCCTGTTATGATCTCATGATGTTGGTCTAGAGTTAAATATAAGGCCTTACTTGGCTCGTTTATCGAAATATCAGTGATCATAGAGACTACATCAAAACTTACCAGCAAACCTCTTTATATCTGCTGCTTTGTTTGAGAAAAATAAAGCTTGCTGCTTTAGTCATTCAGCTACCTCTAGCATTTACAATGTCGTAACTTCCCCTTTAATTTTTGGCAGACTATATGTGGCTAGCAATTCTTTGGAGAACTGCAATCACTTTTAACTTGTACAGTTCTTCACCGTTTACACATTGCTACAAAAAATCCTTAAACCTAACATTAAGGCCTTCTGTCTGGTAACTAATTTTAGTCTCAGATATTTCTCAACTGTTCAAAGCCTACAACAGTTACTCTATATCGTCTCTCCTATAACTATAGCTGGTCTTTCTTTGTCTGCTCCAGTATTAAATGAAAATTTTCTTTGAGTTTTATCATAATAGTATAAACTTTTAACTGGTGATTCTACATGAGGAGCATGTAATTAAATATCACTCCCAGTATCCTTTAGGAAACTTATCAATGATACCAAGATTCCCTCTAGTAAGTCCTTATTATTTAGAAAGGTGTAGCTTAAGTCGCTTAATAGAACCTCTTCAGTGGAAATGTCTTATGAGGTTTTAGATATAGATTTGCCACATTTTGGCATCGAACTTTTCTTCTCTTCACCTCATTTGATGCTGACTGCTTCCTTTCGCTAATTTGTATGCGCAAATTTCTTAATTAATCATCTTGTTTTCTTCTTATCTGCACATAAAACTTTGCGACATAACTTAAACACCATTAGTTTTCGTTTATAAGTAGATTTTTAGGACTACATATCATATTTATTTCTGCCATTGTTTGCAGCTTAAATAAGTCTTCCGATCTAAAAGCTTTGGTTAGGGTTTGCAAGATTCTCATCCTAATTTGAATTCATAAGTGCAATTTTGCAATATTTTCCTTAAGTCTACTATCCGCCATAACATCATATGCGCTCAAAAGATTAGTCTAAGTTTTATTTGGCAAAT